CACTTGCCACGCTCAAGTCTTCCCTCCCTCCTTCTCTCGCGTGTGTCTGCGGGTGTGTGTCTGTCCTATGCCTTCCTCTTCTCTCCCCTCCTCGCTTTCGTTGCTCAGCAAATTGTAAACGCAACTTCTTCAATGCAGGGTGTGTGCTCTCGGCTTGGCGCTACTCGGCATCGTTTCGTCGAAGCTGTTGGCCTGGCCAGCCCTTCGCGCAAAAAGAGCCAGGCGGGAGTGTGCGGTAGGCGAGCTATACATACATGTATATTATATATACAATTATGTATATATACATGTATATATACACACACACATCGGAGTAGGCCGGGGGGCAACGGCCCCAGGTTGGCATTGGGGTTCCAGGGGCCTCGCGAGTGCTCTCGTGGCTTGCCTCCACAGTGGCCCCGCGGGAGCACAGGTACAGTCGGGGCCCTGAAGAAGGAACCCTTTTCGTCGGGGAGGGGCTCCGCGTTCCTTACGTGTTTCACAGCTTGCCTCAGGCTCCCCTTATGTTTTCGACCGGAAATCGAAGGTCAACATATGGCAGAAGGGCCCTCGTTCCTGATTTAGGGTTCCTCAGGTCAACGCCCCGACTGTGAGCTCCAATCAGTCCACCAGACCCGTCCACCGCACCACGAGGGCGCCGAAGAGGGCCCGTGCGAGCGGGGCCCCATGGTGGCAGCCAGGCTGCGCTGGGACGGCCTCGGGCAGGCTTCGGCGGGCGCCCGAGGCCCCAGGCGAGTGCCCCGGGAGGCAAGAGCCGTTGATTTCCATGTGTTTTTCCATGCTCACTCCGAATTTCAGAATTTCATCGGAGGGCACCAACTATACACCTACACCGATCCAGCCCAGGCCGATCCTAGGCCCAGGATCGGTGTATATGCATTCTGCCCATGGCAGGAGGGCGTATACACCGATCCTGGGCCCAGGTTGATCCTGGCCGGGATCGGTGTTGGTGTATTGTTGGTGCCTCCCTATTTCAGAATTTCAGAATGCTCACACGGGAGCGACGAGATCACGCCGATCGAACTTCCGAATGCTCAGTTGGGGTCCTTCCTTCCCTCACTGGGAGGCAGAGCTCGCTGATTTCCCCGAGGTTGTTTTTGGATGCTGTTGGGTCCCCCACTTTCGATATCTAGACAATCGCGGACGGCCCAGGAACCCCAGAAGACCGCCCCAGTTTCGCCCGCGGCGCCTGGCCGTGCCTCTTGGGGCCCTCTCTGGCGAGGGGCCGCCCTGGAACCGCCTTGGAGGCCTGAGCTTGAGTTCCTCTTCTTCATCTTCCTTCGCAAGTGCGTTCTCACCATGATGGAAGCGAACCCGGCCTTGGCGATGAAAGCGCCCTGCGCAAAACAACACAAAGCACAGAGAAGACCATTGGGACGCCTCGAGCTTTCAAACTTGTTTTCCCATCGACGACGGAACGGGCGGAGGGGGATGGGAAGGAGCTCGCAGGCACTCAGGATGGCCCCAGGAAGGCGCGCAACAGGGCCACGAGTGCGCCCCAGGGTAACCCAAATGAGGCTGCAAAGCCCGAAGGACGGCCCGTCGGAATGATCCGACAATTTTCAGACGAGGGATGCGGAGGTGGAGCTTGGAGCTGAGATGGAAGAGGTGTGAGACGACAAGACAAGAACGGTAGGAGGTGGGAACGCCACAGGAAGGAATGTGAGACGAAGCGTAGGGTGTTTGTCAAAGGAGACCGGCATGGCCTTCGGCCCATCCCGCCTCCGTGCTTGGGTTGTTGAAAGACAGTTTGTAGGGTGTTGGGTGGGATGTCGAGGGAGGGATCGCAGGGGCCTCCTGGGGACCTTTTTGTTGGCCTCTTGGGGGCCATTTTGGTGCCTTCTGGGGGCGTCGTGGGGCCTGTTGCGGTCCTCTTGGGGCCTCGTGGAGCCTCTCGGGTCTCGGGGCCCGCTTGGGGCATCCTCGGGGGCCTACTTGAAATTTCGGTTCATGTTCCCCCTGTTGGGCCCTTCTTGGATCTTGGGGCCCTCTTGGGCCGTCTTGGGCGCCCCTCATGGCCGCCTCTTGGGCCGTCTTGGGCGCCCCTGGGGCCGTCTCGGAGCCCTGTTGGGCCGTCCCAAGGCTCTTCTGGGGGCCGTCTCCGCTCGTCTGAAATTCGAAAAGGGAAGGACCCCGAAGTGAGCATTCGGAAATTCGATTGGCGTGATCTCCTCAGTCCGTGTGAGCATTCTGAAATTCTGAAATTCGAAATTCGATTGTCGGAGTGAGCATTAAAACAAAAACACTGGGAAATCAACGATTCTTGCCTCCCGGGGCACTCGCCTGGGGCCCCGGGCGCCCGTGGAAGCCTGGCCGGGGCCGTCCTGGCGGAGCTTTTGGCAGCCTTCGGACCCTGTCACCAGGCATCGACGGCGCTCTCGGGGCGTGATGGCCCGGTCCGGTAGGTTGTCGTCCTAATTTTGAGTTATTTTCGGCGACTACAAAGGGTATGGTTACGCCGGGGTGTGGTTTGCGATCGGCACCGTTGGGGCCTGGGGGGCACGACGCTGTCCTCGTCGGGCCTCCTCGGGGCGCGGGAGAACTCCATTGAGGTCCCCGCGCGCCCCCCAGGGTGCCCCCCAGGATGCTCCCCAGGATGCCGATTGCAAACCACACCCTTTGCAAACCACGCCCTTTGGAGCCGCCGATAGTTGTGCGCCCGCTGGGCCACAAGGTCGCTCGTGGGGCCCCAGGAGCCCCCCTGCCAACCCGTGGCCGCTGTCGGGCTATTTGTGTGTGTGTGTGTGGTGTGGTTATCTCTCAGCTTTTTGTTGTCCTTCTCTCTCTCTCTCTCTCTCTTTCTCTTCCTTTTATCTCGTTCGCACTCACCATGTCCCTCTGTCTGTCTCTCTCTCTCTCTCTCCCTCTCTCTCTTACTTCCCCTTCCCCTTCCCTCCCTCATCGTAAACTCTCTCTCTCTCTCTCTCTCGTTTTCAGTCCCTCTCTCTCGCTTTTTTTTTTTTCTCTCTCTCTCTCTCTCTCTCTTTTTCTCTCTCTCTCTCTATATATATGTGTATGTGCATGTCGCTTCTATTTATGTATTACATCAGGCATGCGCGCTTCTACACACATACACACATGCAGATGGATTCCCAGAGCACTGCTTGCACTCGCGGGCTCTCGCTTTTATGTCCCCTGGGAGTGCTTGGACGAGCCCGCCGAGGACTCTCCGCGTGGCCGCCTCCGTGGGCGTTCGTGGGCGCCCTCGTGCGCTGGGCGTGCCTGCCCACGGAGCTCCGGCTACTTCCATCTGCGCGCGGCCCGCTCAGCTTCGACCGGAAGGCGGCGCGCTCTCGACCCGCGAATCAAGCAAGTCTGCCTGCCGACGCTGCGTTGGCGTGGCCGCCCGTGCCGCCCCCGAGGGACGGCCGCTCCTGATCTCTCTATCCCTCCCCCTCCTCCTCCTCCTCCTCCTCCTCCTTACCTCCACTCCGCTTGTTGTGGTTTCCTTTCTTCGTGGTGCTGGTATGTGTTTTTGTAGCGCTTTTTTTTTTTTTCCCCGCCTCTCCTCCTCTTCCATCCTCACTCTCCTTCCTCCCTCCTCCCAGCCTACTACATTCTCGCGGGTTTCCTCTACATACGCCTGAACCTGCTCCTGCGCCGGGCGCCCCGTGCGCCGGGCGGGGCCCCATCGACGCTGCGCACGCTGCGGCCGCCCGTGCCGCCCCGCCGCCCCGCGCTCGGGGGGCGATCCTCGGCGCGCGGAGCCTCCACGGCAGGGGCTGCCCCGACGCGTCTATACGGCTTCGGCTGCGGCCCGCCTCGGGGGCTCTGCCTCCCCCCGGCCTCGCCTGGAGGCCCCGGCGCTCTCTCCTTCTCCTCCTCCTCCTCCTCCTCCTCCTCCTCCTCCTGCTCCTCCTCCTCCTCCTCCTAGCTCCCTCCTCCTTTCCTCTCCTCCTCCTCCCCTCATCCTCCTCCTCTCCTCCTCCTTCCTCCTCCTCCTACTCCTCTCCTCCTCCCCTCCTCCTCCTGCTCCTCTCTCCTCTGCCTCCTCCTCCTCCTCCTCCTCCTCCTCCTCCTCCTATCCTCTTCCTCCTTCCTCCTCCTCCTCCTCCGCCTCCTACCCCGCGCCACCCCCCCCCCCACATCATCCAACTACCAGCAGCGCGCCACTTCCGCTCTCTCCTCCCCCCCCTTTCCGCCTGATTCCCGACGCGTCTACGGCTTCGGCACCGCCCGCCTCGGGGGCTCTGCCTCCCCCCGGCCTCGCCCGGAGGCCCCGGCGCTCTCTCCTCCCCCCCCTCTTTCCGCCTGATTCCCGACGCGTCTACGGCTTCGGCACCGCCCGCCTCGGGGGCTCTGCCTCCCCCCGGCCTCGCCCGGAGGCCCCGGCGCTCTCTCCTCCCCCCCCCCCCTTTTCCGCCCAATTCAAAAGCCTGAGCCTCGCGCGGCCCGCTGAGCTTCGACCAGAAGGCGGTGCGCTCTCGACCCGCGGATCGAAAAAATGCCTTGCACTTCACAGCGTGCGCCGCGCAGCGTGCACAAGAAAGTATCACAGGACGCAGCGTACACCCGCACGGCGCTCACCACGAGCTCGCACCAGGTTCCTTGCACGACATGGCTTGTGCCACACGCACTGCACTGCATACCGCTCACCTAGGGAGCTCACGCTTCACAGCTGGCATGGCATATACACCACATAGCTTGCACCGCATACGTCTCTTCTCCACTGCACTGGTGTACTGTTTGGGTTCCAAGCTGGCTACCATACGTTGGCATGCGTCAACATGCAACGTAGACTCCATGCATGCCGTGTCGCTGAGGTCAGTTGTCGACCTTCCTGCATCAACGTGATCACACGTTAACGCAGACGAGTGAGTCCAGGCTCGTGTCGCCACGGCGCGGTGAAAGTAAGTGTGGAAGTGTGTTTCTTCTATGTTTTTTTTCCAGCGTGGTCTGTGTATTCTGATGTCAAGGTCTTTTGAGAATCAGCCTTTCTTGAAAGCTTGCCACAGCTGACCCTACCTCTCGCAGTTCAGATCCATTGTATCAATATCCGAGGACGGTCTTCTGGAATACAGCAGGGTTCCCGTTCCAAGACAAGTGTTGGGAGTAGGCGCGCCGAAGATGCTTGCCCATGCTCCAGTATACATGTTGTGTACTACTTGCGTACCGTGTCATGCCACTTTCACGTTGAATCGAGTCAGGCATGGTTTCGTGTTGATTATTGTTACCCAGTGTGCCGACATATTGTTGTTTCTTATGCCGGATTTGTGCCGTCTGGTCACATCCCAGGTAAGTTTTGACGTCGCAGCGTCGTGCATACATGTGCACAGGATTGTCACGCGTGATACCTTAAGTGACAGACTTCCGCTTCGATCCCCCCGTCACCGCAATGTTGTACGCTTGGTCCACATGAATTGCGCGGGCAGTTTGGGAGCTTCGGTAGTCTATAAAACAGTTTCTAGAGTTGGAGGGGTTGTGTCCAGCACAAGTGCGGGCAAGGGTAAGCGCCTGCATCATTCAGGACAAGTGCGGGCTCGGTGGCACTGGCCATAAAGCGTCATCCTTAGTTGCACACCGTTGAACCATTCATCAGGACCACTGTCTGCCTTGCCTCGCCCTTCACACTTCTGCCCGTGATCAACCAACGGGGAAAAGCAAAAGAGAGGCACGAGCTCGGGCGCAGGCGTGCTGTTCAACTTTGTGTGCCAGGTCGCCCAGACGTCGATCAGCTGCTGGGGATTCACTTGGGCCGTCACGGCACTGGGCCTGCCCAACAAAGAAGCCGCCATGGTGCCCTCGACGTTTTCGTTGGGGTTCATGCTCACCCGCTTCGCCGTGGTCCTCCCGGCCTCCCGCAGGAAGCCTCGTTTTGACTCCTCCTCATTCTGAATTTCGCACGCTCCCTCACAATCACCCTCTCCCTGCTCCCCGCCCTGCCTCCCTCCCTCCTTCCCTCCTCCTCCTCCCTCCTTCCCTCCTCCTCCTCCTCCTCCTCTTTCTCCTCGTCCTCCTCCTCCTCCTGGGTCCTCGGCAGGCGTTGGATATGGACCATCTCCACCGCCTGCCGAGGTCCCATAAGATCGATCCCCCAGACACTGGTGACGGATATCTAGGCCTCCCAGATGGGGTCGGAGCAGCTGGGGTCGGAGGATCGCGCCGCATCGCCGATGCATCGTCGGTGCGGCTCGATGCGGGGCTCGATTTGCTTAACGTCGACGTCGCCGATGCATCGCCGACGCCGACGATGCATCGCCAGTGCATCGCCGCTGCATCGCCGCTGCTTCGCCGAAGCATCGGCGACGCGGCACGATCCTCCGACCACGTCTTCTCGGACACCATCCAGGAGGCCTCTAGGGTAGGTCCCCGCCTGGCATTTTCAGCCCCCCGGCGCCCCTTCCCATCCCGTCGCCGTGGCGGGATTCCCCCCTCTTCCCGACCTCTTTCGGCAGGAGGTGGGGAGGAACGGCAGTTGCAGGAGGAGGGGGGGGGAGGGGGAGGAGGAGGAGGAGGGGAGGGAGAAGAGGAGGAGGAGGAGGAGGAGGAGGAGGAGGAGGAGGATCGGTCGGCACAGATCATCGACGGCAGGTCACGGTGTGACGGAGCCGCCTGCACGCCAGCGCAGCCGCGCCATGGCGGCACCCTCAGCCCCCTCGCGCGGTGGCCCCCTCTCACCCTCGCCGCGCCTGCCACGCTTCCAGTCTGCCTCGGCGAGGAGGGCCCGCGGGGCCCACACCGGAGGAGCGTCGACTCCGCGGCGAGCAGCGAGGGGGAGAACTGAGAGGGAGGAGGCCTTCTCAGAAGGCTCGCCTCCTCCTCCTCCTCCTCCTCCTCCGCCTCCGCCTCCGCCTCCGCCTCCTCCTCCCATTCCTCGTATTCCTCCTCCTCCTCCTTCTCCTTCCCCTGCCTTCCGAGAAGTGTTCCAAGTCTTCCCGGAAGACAGAACAGTTTTTGTTCAGAAGGTGCGAGGGCTTCAGAAGTCTCGCCGCCTTCCGAAAAGGCCTTCTCCTTCCCATTCCCCCCCTCGCTCGCCGCCGATCGACGTGAGCCTTCGGAGCCCTGCCCGCGCGCAGGTTCGCAAGGTGCCACGGCTGCTTGGGGCGGCCATTGCAACCGCCGCGGAGGTCTGCCAGGCGGAGTGGGCGCGCTGGCCGCACCGCTGGCACCAGACCCACGTCGACGTGCCCTCTGCAGCACTCGTCCTGCAGCACCTGCCACGGTG